GAGAATAGTCGGGAGTGTGCGACTCTCGCGACTCTGCGCCAGTACGAGGATACTCGAGGAGTGTTTGCGTGGCCCCCCGAGGGAGATAATACACCGTGAGATTTTCCAGTGTGTGTGTGCTACAGTGAGAGAGGATTTACCTGTGGTTGTACTTGGAGTACTTGCACCTGCGATCGACGACGCGCGGTCTCTCCCTCGCGTCTCGCGCGATCTCGCGACGGATAATGTGGAGGTACGAGACGGTGCGCTTGAAAAGTGTAACGGTCGCGAGCCCGCTGGTCTAGCCGCGCCGTCGCGGAATTACTCGTTGTTTTTTTTTTCGCACGCTCCGCGCATTCCTCTCTCGACTTGCACCGAGGGAAAACTCGCTGGATTCGAACATGCGAAGCGCCGCCGTCGCGTGCAATCGCTGACCGGATCGTGTGATCGACGGCGAGCCGACGGGTAGCCTCGCTGCGCCGAGAAGGCATCGCCGTCTCGCGCGTTCGTTGGCGACGGGCCACGCTACGGATCGCGACAGTATCGCGCGTCGCCGTTTCCGAGGAGAGCATCCCGGAGAGAAAAGAGAGAGCGAGAACTGAACCAATGAACCACCTGGCGAGCCGTAGCGCTCCCGACGAGAGAAACACGGGCTGGCCCCATGGGACCGGCGCTATTTCGGACACCATCGACAACGACGGCGCGCCGAGAGACGCGGATCGAGTCTGATCGTTCCGATCTTGAGAGACGCGAGGGTCGCGACTTCATCAAATAGATATCGGACCCCCCCCCCCTCGAGGGCCGAGGATCGTTGAGGCTCGTCTCTCACTCCGGATTCTCCGGGACTCGCCAGGGGCCCCCGCGATGACGGCGTGAAGCGACCGACGGCGGGAATCGCGGCCGAAAAAGGTGCGTGGGACAAGGGAGGATCAACGTCGCCGGGATTAAGGGATAGCGAGAGGAGGCGCTGGTGGTGGAGAGGAGGAATACCGGGCACAGTGTGGAGTGTGGATGTGGTGGAGGTGCGACGGAAGTGGTGGAAGAAGTAGGTGGTTGTGGACGACTGCAACGAGGTCGCGGGCGAAAGTGCAACGGGTGCTGTTGTGCCTCGCGGCGGCTCGCGGTTGGTGCCGGTGGTGGTCGTTGGCCGAGTACGGGCGCCTGAACGACGGTGCCAGCCCGTCGTCGTCCACCGTCGTTGTTACCATGGTTTCCACGTCCTTCGTTACCCTGGTGTTCTTCGTCTGCCTGCAAACGGTGCTACTGTCGACTGTGAGCAACTGCGCCAAGACGATCAGCATGTACTGGAACACCACGAATTCCATGTAAGTGGTGCGCGCCCGAGTCGTGATTCGCGTTGTTTTTCTCCTCGACGGTGATTTTCTCTCGGCGTTACGACGGCGATCCGAGAATCGTTCACGTAACGTCCGAATATGTAAATCCTTTTCGAATGAGAAAGGAGAATTTTGGATTACGAAGATCCGCGAAAAGTGAGGAATATTTGGCGAGGGACTGCGTGATCGATCGCGCGAAGACCGCTCGGCGGCTAATTAATAACGAATTAAGTCTTGAACTGAATTCCTTATCCGTGCGAGCAATCAATAGGTTTGTTTTTTTATTGCTGCACTGGACCGCGCTAAAACTTCCCTTCTCGCTTTTGTCAAATTTCAAAACATACGTCTATTTCACTTGTAAGTATAGAGAGTAAACACTACGGTGTGGTACAGTTCAGCTATAAAAAAAACAGACCTTGTGTTTCTTCGAAAATGCTGCCTCGCAAAAATTGCTGCTTTTTGTACCTTTCGTAAAAAGTCTTGGAAACTCCGTCGGGATGAAATATAAATATAAATCCTCGCGAAATGGGGCAACCGCGGTTAAATCCCACTTTAAATTGCAATTTAGTTACGCTGCAAATGTTCGCTTGAAACATTAAAGACCGTCAGGAATTTTAAGTAATTCCAAGTGCGATCGTTCGCTTCTCCGATTCTAAATACGGAGTAAAGGATCAGATAGCGTTACATATATGCGGCCGGAATATTGGTCGCGTTTCGTAATCCGCGATATTTCCATAAAGGACACGTCGCGCGTCCGTGCGAACGGATTTGGGACGGGAATTCGATTTTACTCCCCGCGGTATACTCCCTCGTGCCTCTCGCGCGCGCTCCAAAATTTTTTCCCGTAAATCCCGTGACAGCATCAGGTCTTTTCCCCGGATGCACCAACATTTTTCTCCGCTGCGTCACAGTGTCTTCTATTGTCGTTAACGAGTCGCACGAGCGAACCGTATCGGCGCGCGTGCCAAGACGTTTAAAAGTCGCCGGGGTGTGTTTGCAAGCGAGCGTTTTGCCGGTCGAATCGATTTCTCACGGCGGAATCGACGACGACGACGTCGTCGTCGTTGTTGTCGTTTCGAATAACAACCATCCTCTCCCGTTTCCACGCTGGGTCTCGCCTCTTCTCTCTCCACTTCCGGCGAGCTTTTATCGCGCCGGGCGTGGTATCGCGTCTGCCAAAATTGCAGCAGCGCCGCGCCGGTGTGTGTGTATGTGTGTACGTGTACGTACGACTTTAATGCGCCGCGCCGGCGAATTGGCCGGTCCCCCTCTCGCCCCTTTCCCGACCATGGCGTTTCCCCGTGACGTCCAAATTGCAGGCGATCGCGGAGAAAAAGAGAGGCGGAAGCGACGTGTCAGAAACTGCGCCGGGATTATGGCAGGCGCAATATTGTGGCCGATGCCGCGGTCGCGCGAGCGTGTTTGCGCGGAATCGGCTCGATGCAGATCGCAGGAAAGTTTTCGGTGATGTAACGATGACGGTAGGCAATCCCGCGATTGACGAAAGAGAGGTATTAATTCTGTTTTGCCGAAAGTCGGAGTTTCTTCGATATTAAAAAATTCCGGCCGGCGCGAAAGTTGGATATTTCCGGAACTCTGAAAATTTTCTGAGCTGCAAGCGCGGAAGTTAGCGAGTTGTAAAACTGTAAAATTTCCAAGTTGAAGATACGCCTGAACGATCTCGGACCGTTGAATATCTCGGCATTGTCGCAGCTTCCGAGAATTCTCGAAACGTTGGAGAGATTTTGCAGGTCGACGTTAGAGCAAATCCCCCTTAATCCCGGTTTCCTTAAAGAATATCGCTTGGCTCGACGCGCTAATGCCTTCCATAGTGCGACACATCGCGGCGTGCAGCCTCTTTAGCGGTAATTGATCGATAAGAACAGTCGAACACGACTCTCGTCTAAACCGAGAGTGGCGGCGCGCAAAGGTGCAACGAATCGCAAATGCATCCGCGTGCGTGTGTGTGTGTGTATGTGCGTACGCGCGTGCACGTGCAACATTGTGACCGACTTCGTATAGCTGGACCCCTGCGCGTTTGCTTGCATAACTACGCAGTAAGGTTAACCGCTGCAATCTCGTAACGTTTTTTTTTTCTCCTCCTCGTCGGTCGCTGCATAAGGAAACACACGACCTTATACGTGGGTACCTCGTTACCTCCCCCCGATGATTTCTTTCGCCTGGCGTGAAGCGGGGCCTGCGTAATTCGCGAGAGAGACTTTTTGCCCCCCCTCTCTCCCGTCTCGCGGACGACGGGAGACGTATGTCCTCCCCTGCTCCATTCGCTCGTGCTACTCGTATTTCGCGTCTCGCCAACCCGCCGCCGTCGGTCGCTTAACGAGGGCAACGTCTACATTTTTGCGGCGCGGAAAGAAGCCGTCCGATTTCCTTCCCGGCTTCGGCTCACCTTCGATTAACGATCGCAATTAACGTCGATTGATGTTCGATCGTTCCGACCACTGCTCTTAACATTGAATCTCGCTCTCTCGCTTCTTGTTTTCCTTATATCACATCTGATCTAAAAATCTCTCTCTCTCTCATACACGCTTTAATTGTCGAGCGAGTCGCGCGCCCGTTTTCTTGCTTTATTCTCGATCGTGATTGCTAACTCGCGTTACGAAATCGCCGATCGCCGTCGATGGTTTGACATCTGTCGTTTGATCTCGCCTAGGCAGATTAATTTTTATTTTGACCGCGTGCCTTTCGATTGCATATACCTTAAATGAAACAGGAGCGTTCCATCGTGTTAAAATCGGTTGCCGATGGCGCAGCGAAATCCGGGTGTTCTATTCTTCGCTTGCGAGGTCTCTCGGCAACGTCTACCTGACTTTGACGTTCGCGCATGCATTACGAGCCAGTTACGGAGCTACGGAACCCCGCGAGCGAGCGAGCGAGCGAATGCGTGAGTCAGGGAGTGAGGCCGAGCTCTCGGGTACGTGCGAAAATCCATTTTGCGCAGGAGAGGGACGCTGTCAGGCCGTCCTCCTGCTCGTGGGACGGTACGAAGGGGCAGTAAAAAAAGCGTGCACCTCCTTCGCGAGACCGGGGGGAGAAGAAAAAAGAACCCGGGCGCGCGCGCGACGAGAGGGGGATACGTGACAAGGCGCAAAAAAGGTGCCCGGGCAAAACGGGAGGCCGTAAATCTTGGCCTCTTATTGGGAAATCGAAATTCGTTTTAAGAAAGCTGTCGGCTGGCGGGCGCTGCGAGCGAAAAAGAGAGACGGCCGATGGCCGCTTGATTATCATAAATCTGCTTCCGCGATGATCGCGCAGCGACTATCGGACGAAGCGTAAGCTCCGGACGTTTACTGCCTCCTCGGGAATGCTTCTCGAAAAGGATTGCTCCTCCGTAGGCTTCGTACGGTTTTAAAAGAAAAAAAAGAAGACGGAAGAAGGAAAAGGGAGAAAAAAGAAAGAGAGAGAAAAAACGCTGGATACGTGCGCGTTGCGCAAACGGTGACAGCGTCCATTACGAAAGTCACGTCTCGTGCTCCGTTTTTTAAATCGCTGCGCGAGATAGGCAGGCGAGATCTCTCCTCGAGTTATGCGTGGTGCGAAGTTAACACGTGCATCTCTCCTCGCGTGTTGTTTTCCACATGAACACGGCCGAAAACACGGGCGATGGTGAGAGAGAAGTCGCGATGCGTCGCCATTGGAGACTTCAATGCCAGCAGCGAGATCAGCGTTGCTAGATTATTGAACTCTCTGCCTCTTTTCTGTCTGCCTTTCTCTCTTTCATCGACGTCGCGGATAATTCCATCGGGTTCAAAGTAACGGGGCAAGAACCAACAATCCCTCGGTGCTATTAAGTCTGTCCTTTTTTTGCCGCATTTTCTTGCAGTCTTCTCTTCTTCCCTTTTTTCCCTCCTTTTAGAGTTTGAAAAACGCTTGTTTTTGCTCGTGCTTCTGTAGTATCTATATAGCGCCGCAATTAGGTACAAAATGCGAGCAATTTCGCTATTGTAAAGAAATCGATCTCGCACAAAGCGTACTTTTTTTTTTTATTGAGAAACTGCTTCTTTTCCTTTGTCGAGCATTGATTTGTTGCTACGTTGTTTTATTCTGTCGCGACGAAACAGAGATATCCGTGACAACAGCTGTGACAATATCGCCCCATTTTTTTTTTTAACGATAAGTTAGCATAGATATAATCGATATCTTCATACGAGTATCAAGTATCAAATTTCACGTCGAGCGACAGGCTCGTTTCCAATATTAGTTTTTTGCTCGATTATTACGTCCGATACGTCAGATCTCAACGACGTCACTATAAGCGATCTTAATGAATAGCGAATGTTGGCTCGATACCAAGCGGCCGCGCCGGGGGATACCCAGAACTCGCGACCGCGGCCTATTCGTCATATCGTCAGGGATTGCCAGCGTCAGGGATATGCTGAGTAGGTGGATCTAAAAATGCGTCATTGTGTGGCAGAGAGAGAGAGAGAGAGAGAGAGAGAGAGAGAGAGAGAGAGAGCGGTGGCCGGTCGCGCGTCATTCGAAGAATTCGTGCGGTAAATTCTGCGGGTGCACGCGTTCTCCGGCGCGACTCCGTTCCTTTCTGCGAACGCTGCGTGCCGTATCTCTCGTGCCGTCTGTTTAGATAACACCTCGAAAGGTACTCGATACATTGAACAACGTTGTTAAAGCGTGGACGAAACTGACGTTCGACTGAATTCCTTATCGTACGCGGTGTTGGATTTCCGCCGCGCGGTTTCTCGACGCTCGAGGATTCAAAACTGCGCTAAAATAATAATCGCCTTCGCGGAAAATATTTAATTTCCGCGGCTACCCGTTACACTTTAGCACGAGCCGGCGCGCGGGTCCCGTTATTAAATTGCCGGTGGTGCGGCGCACGGTGAGAAGCTCGTTTTTGAAAGCCGCAGAAGCTTCCTATTATCCGCCCTCGTGTCTTGGGTACCGTGATGCCGTGGTGCTTTACAGCACTGAGTATTAAAGCAACATCGATTTACAGCCACCGCAAATCAGCGGTT